CCTAGGATCCCAATTCCATAGCCCTGCAAGAACTTCGCTTTACATCCCAATCTTCCCAACCTCATACCCACCCTACCCCCTGCCCTCTAAACCGGGCTCACCCATTTCAGGAGTCCTCCACCTGGTACTCTCCCTCGCCATGCTCCTGCATCCTCAGCTGGAAATTCAAGTCCTGCACCGATGGGCAACCCACAGACAGCAGAGCTGAAGAGGAGACCCACTGCTTTGCACAGCAGCAGCAGGGACCAGCAAGCACTAGCCAGCAGAGAAGATCCTGAAACGCACTGACCTACTCGGGAAACAAATGAATGAAAGCACTTACCCCAAGTCTCAAAGAGACTGCAGTTACAAGTAAAATATGGAGCTGTCGGTGCTACAGGCTCAATTGCAGGACAGTTTGAGAGTCTCTGCGTTACGTTATTAGGAAGCTTTTCTGAACATTTTTCCTAAAATGTAAAGTCATCATAAAGGGCAGTTTCTTGCAAACAATTCCAGTTTAAAAAATTCCCTGAGTGTCCTCAATAAATGATGGAGAAAAGCCCGATGGAGTTTGGGATAAATGATGCACACGTAGCACTGCGTGCCCACTCTCTCACAGCGATAAGTTTCCGACAAGAGACATGGGCTCCCTGTTGCATAAGCAGAAGTGTCTCAGAGGAGGCCTCGATAACTCTCATGAGAGACAGAGGGGAAAAAATATGCAAAACGTAACAAGTTTCACTTTCAAAGGAAAACAACATTTCCTCCTGGACATTTTCAGTGTCATTAACTTGAGGCAAACAGGTACATGCCTAGCCGTCTGTCCACAGCTGGTGTGGATGCAGGCATTCGGGCTCCACAGGCTGCTCAAGCCCATTGCAGTGACTGCAAGAGAGTTACTTGCTGAACCAATTGGGAAATTTAGAGAAACAAAGTTTTCTATAGCTAGATCCACAGAGACTTTTTGAGCATGGTCAGCATATCTAAATCAACTGCAGGATTCCTGATGTGTTGGAAAGGGGCTTTGTTGTTGTTTGTAATGCACTTATTTACTCAAGAAAGCTCAGCTCTGATTCAGCATCTGGTTCTCATTGAGGCTCAGCTTTTTTTAAACCGAGCTTTCCAGATGGGTTGACTGAAGCACAAGGAGGTCAAGAGACTTGTCTGAGGTCATACAGCAAGTCAGTGGCTCTGCTTGGACCCGAGCCCAGAACTGTTCAAGGCTACCACTCCTTGGCTCTTAAAGAGACAATTTTATCCCCTGTGAAGTGATCTTATCACCATGAAGAGACGCGATAAAAGCAGTCCCCTCAAAGCTGCAGCCTGCTTAGAAAGAGTTATTTTATTTGGAAAAAGCCATGGCGTTCCAGTGTCTCAATGGAGCAAGTCAAACCAAAGGGGTGTGATACTGATATACAGTGTCATCCACCCCACTCTTGTATAACCCCGTGCTCCTATGGGGCGGCTTTGTGCTGCTGCCATCCCTGGTTGTCTACTCCCATCCCATCTAGCAGCACGTCATGTTGTGAAATACACTGTCAGTTCAGCACAGGTTGAAGCCCCTTCTCAAGGTGAGGGAGCTCAAGTCCACTCAGGACCCAAAGCAGAGCCCAAGTACTTGTTGCCACGGCCTGGACACGTGGAGCGCAGCCAGCGCATCCCAGCCAATCGACCAGCAGATCCCCTAAGCTCAGCTCTGTTCTCTATAACCTCAGAGTGCACTCTTTAAGCTCAGCCACAGGCTGGGCTACAGCAAACAGTTCACAGATCCCATGGCAAAGGCACACTTGCTCCAAACCAAGAAGGAGGTGGCAGGTACTAGGTTCTCCTCCAGAAAGCATGGCTTGGCTCTACCTCTGTTTTCCAGGGGCAGGGTGAGAAGAGCACAACAGAGGGAACATTGCCAGAAGCTACACAGCCTCAGACAGGTAAGAGGTACTAAAGAGCTCGAGAAACATAGATAGGTCTTGCATGTCATTCTGCAGAGCCCTTTGCAAACTGGACCAACCTGTAGCAGGCTCTGCTACTTAGGAACGCAGAGCGTTGCTCAAGTCCTTCCTATAATAAATTCTGCATCTTAAGGAGATGAAAGCTGCAGGGTGCTAGCGAATGTTGCGTTATTGCTCTAGCACTGTTCTAAGGATGAAAACGCCAGGTTTTAAACTACTGTATTCTGTTTAATATATTAATAGGAAATGAAACCCTGAAAATGGTGTACATGCCAAAAGCAAGCATAGGTGCGGCCAACTTTCTTGTTCTTACGATATGCATACCCAAAAATCCTTTGTATAGCCAAGAACCACAGAATAAATACCACATAGCTCCGGGAGCCCAGGGAAGAGATAACAGTGACTCTCCAGGGTTCCCAGTGTGGGATGGGGTTAGACCGTGTGTGCGGCTGAGTCCAATGACAACTCGGTGACGTCAACCTCAGCAGCTATTGCCTGCTCAGTTCCTCTCTGAGCCAGGGATGTACATTAACCAGCGGCCTTTGTGTCAACACAGCCTTGCTGCTGCAGCAGCAGAATGGGAGCCATACTTGAACTGCTGGAGAGTCTCACAGAACTCAAGCGCCATGACAAGGCAACTCTTAAACACTAGCTGGATGCACTACGCCGATGCTGAAAGCCTTTCCTAACTCCCACTGAAAGGGCACATACGTTTTCTTTCCACATGTTCACGGATAAGATGTTTGTAGGCTCCGAAAAGAGGCACAGCTTGTTGAAAACCAGGCTTGCTCTCTCTCAGGACTTCACAAGACCACACTGGTGTGACTAACTTTGTGGTATTCTAAATCTGATTTAAGACACCACTCTGGAAAGTTGGTTTTGACCAAATGTTTGAGACAAGCTGGAATGGGGCATCCAAATCAGGGATTAGTTTCACAGCAAGACAAACGACAGCCCAGTTTTCCATGTCTCAGAGACTGCCCCTTCCAAACCACAACACATTGTGAAGCAGTTCACGTGTCTCCAGGGGCAGACGGCTTGCTTCTTCAGCAACGGGCTGGGAAGAGTCACTGCACACAGGACAGAGGGGCTTCTGCACAGATCTGTGCCAAAAGCCAAAGGAAATCCTCCATGCAGGGCTGGGAGGGAAGGGATTGGGCACGACAACAAAACGCTCCACGGGGAACAGTGCCTTGGACACTAACATGTGGCTCAGTACTCCGTTTTCCTGACAAACAAGAAAAAATCCCTTAACAGATCCAAATGCCAAGGCCTATCCCAGGGTCAGGCTGTGGAGAACCACTGGCTGAACTATTCCGTCCTCGGGTTAAATTTTCGGGTTGGGTTTTTTTTTGCTGTTTTGTTTTCAAAATTAAATGGCTGAACGGCTCTTCCCCCCCTTTACAACTTGTTGCTCTTCCAGTTCAAACAAAGACAGCAGAGCTCCTCCTCTGCTGGCTGCGCCGCCGGGTAGCGCAGGCGGAGGCTTTTGTTTACTAACTCTCCCACATGCTTGGCTGAGGGGCAGCTCGCCCGGGCCGGCGGCCCTGGCTGCGGGCCTCTGCATGGCACTGGGAGCCCCGGCGGCTGGCAGCTCGCCCCGGGCCACCGGGCAGCAGAGAGCCCGGCCCAGCCTGGATGCCTTTCCAAGGCACAGACATCAGATAGGTAGGCTCCCCAAGATGAAAGGGGTCAAGTTACAACCAGTTCCACCGCTTCACTCCAGGGCTCCTCCACCGAGGAGGTTAACCTTCCCTTTCCTGTCAGAATCTGGCTAGGGAGAGCGGGGTCTTCAGCTGTCACTGACGAAAAGGTGGCACTGGGGAAAACCCCATTCAACCACACACAACACATGTTAAAAACCTCGTAGTAGCTCGTTATCCCTGCAATTTGCTAAATGACATTCATAGCCCCTTCTGCATTGCTACAGGCTAACGTTCCTGTTACAGCTCCTTTAATCCTCCTGCTAGTTGGAGATGAAGAGTCCCAGAATTCCTCTCATGACACAGACAGGACCAAACCTTTGCCCAGCCACAAGCCACATTCTCTGACCAGGACAGAGATCCTCACTTACCTTTGAGAAGAACTGCAACAGCTCCCGCAGTTAACAGAGCACCAATCACTTGTCACTTGAGATAAGCTTTCTGTCCCTCTCTGAAGTCAGCAAGACCATCAGTTTCTTCCTATGCAAGCGGATACACACTCTCCTTGTCGGGCTTGCACAGAAGTAGGGAAGTGCTGCCTACTGCCAAACCTCTGCCACCTCTGACAAACGGCAGGGCCTGGGATTTCCATTCCACCCCTACTCAACAGGGGAAAGAATGCAAGGAAGAAAGAATCAGGGGTTTTAGGGGTGCTGGTTTTATTTTGTTTCTTTGAAGAGCAGGGTTTCTTCTTTTTTTTTTTTAAAAAAGAAAACAAAATCAAGATTCTTGAGTGTGGTTTTCAGACCTGATGGCATCTAACAGCTGTCCTTTGTTGTGAGGAAGTTAGTCAAGTATGAGACACTAGCTAGGACTGTCTGACAGAGTAGCTAGCAAGTCTAGCATGATCTAAATATACTCCACAACATTTCAGACAACTACCCCTAGACAACAAAGAGTGTCAGAACAGACTCCAGGCTTGTTGTCATCTCCAAGATGAAGAGCTGATATAAGCCACAGATGGTGATCGCCACTTGTGCCACAGAAGAGAAGACACTGGTGGTGAGGAGAGTGGAGAAGAGTAAAAGCTGTAATAGAAAGCAGGGGGGAGATCCCTGGCGAAAGCCTCAGTGGCCCTGTTGCTGTTGAACTGGAAGAGCGCGAACAAATAACAGCAGCTAACACAGAACAGCTACCTTCCCAGGCAGTAAATGCAATCCCATACATTCTCTTCCCTCCACCTGCCAATCTTTAGGGAGAGCCAGCAATCTAGCATAAGCAAAATCCATCAGGATACTCCTGCCATTTTATCACTGCTGACAGTCTGCTGCCTTAGGCAACAGCCTCCTTAGCTGATGCCTGGAGCCAGTCTTCTCAAGCACCACTGTTGGAGAGCTAAACCCCACCTTCCCCTCCAGAGACACCCTACCCTCTGTATGTGGAGCCGGTGGAACTGGTCGGCAATGCACTGCAACTTCCGTGCAATCTGCACCTCGGCACGCGCTTCCCGCTGACCTTCCTGAGGCTCCTCTTGGAGGTGCGGATCCAACGCAAAGCCAACTGGAGGGACGTGTAAACGGTAACCAGCATTCCCTACAAAACAGAGATCAGAAGAGTCATTCTTCCAGCGCAAAGAATAGCTCTTCTACTCAGTACACTTTACGGAGGAAAGAGCTGCACATAATCCTAAACTTTTCACTCATGTTAAAGTCCAGCTCCTGAAGCCCAAACAATGATTCTGTACCGTAACCATGCAGTAAAGCATTCGCTCAGCTTTTAAGAAGATTTATATCGATTAGGCAGAGCATTGTGTGTTGCTTCCCATAATCAAATGACTGGCATGATCTTATACTTGGTTCATTTTGCTTGTTTATAGTTCAGCCAAGTGCTGATTTTTTTTTTTTTAATGACAATTTTTCAGTTTTACAAGATCTCTGCCTCAAGTTGTCTCCCATTAAAGGTTGCTGTATCTTTTCCGTCAGACTTTTCTCAGTTTTCTGGCATTTAGTGGGACTGATTTGAATTAAAGCTGAATCAGATAGGCAAAGCTGAGTGGTGTCCCATCAGTTACTAGTAAAATACTGGATGGACATGCTACTTATTCAACAACTTTAACTCCAGTAAAGACCCTAAAAGCTGTCCCACTAAGTGTAAATTTTTGCATTTCCCTCTCTCCACTGAAAACTTCTACAAGTCTTCCTATATGGATGAAACAGCACTAGAGGTTAAAAAATGTAGCCAAACTGTAGGATACGAGGTATGGTGAGCACTTAAACATCTAGCAGTAAAATAAAATGTGACAGAATAAAGCCAAAAAGAAAAAGAGTGGGAATATCAAGGACAGCGGAAGCAATGAGCAAGTGCCTCGTTCCTGCAGTGGACAAGCAAGGGTAAGAAAATGCAAGCTGTCTTTCCTGAGGGAGTAAGACCACAGCAAAATAATTTTCAGTCCTTTAACAGAACGCCCTAATGAAAGAAACCTTGCTTGATCGGGGAAGTGCTAAAGGGACAGTTTCCTTGCTGTAAAGCTGGTGACACTGGAGTGCTCTTACCATAGAAGAGTCTCCGGGGCTCTTCAGTGACTCCACAAGGCAACATAACATCCTGACTGGAAGAGGATGGGCTGAGTGTTTGAGTTGCCTTGTCCTGCTGCTCAGGATGCCTGATACCGGGACCACAGCAGTGTGTGAGGGGGAATAGTTGAAACCTCCCCAGAAGGCAGCTGTAGGACTGGTTCTGTGTGAAAATGCCAGTTGCAGTCATCTCACCAGGCTGACCTGCAAGTCCAAAGTCATCAGAGTGAAACACGTCATCGTCCAGCCCATCCAGGCTAGAATAGTCCTCTTCCAGGTAGCTGGGGCGATCCATTGCTCCTGCAATAAAGGGACATTTGAGGAAACAGCTAAGACACAACAAGAACATTGTCCCAGAGAGAATGCCTTCTGCTCCAACAATAAAACACAGCTCTTTTTTCCACGCCTGCCTGCCTGCCTCCCTCCCTCCCAATGCTGCCCATCTGCATGGGCAGGAGAGGCGAGTGACTCAGTGCCGAAGGTCAGGGCTTTGTGGAAAGTCCTCGAGTGCTGGGCCAGAGGGAGACAAAGTTCACACGTGTCTAAGAGTCCACCCACGGCTCCAATTCCACAGCTCGTCACAAGGAGGGAGCCAACCCCCAACCTCAGCACATAGAAACTGAAAAGATACTGTTTTAAAAAGCAACCCCAATCCAGTCAGCCAGTCAGCTTCTTTGGGGTCTGCTTTGCTTTGGCCTGCTGTCTTTGAACTTCATGGTATGCCCCATTCACTTTTTCCCATCTATTACTTACTGATGAAGAAAAGCTCTTGTAATCACAAGGCTGCAAGGCCAGACTTTTAAGAAACCCCAGTGGTTGCAAAACTCAAGAGCTGGCAAAGCCATTTCTGTGAAGCTCTCCGTAACTTCTCCCTATAAGGGCCAACTTTCCTTTCAACTTCTCATTTCTTCCCTCAGCTCAACTTAAGACATATCCCAAATTTGGCAATGCAGTCACTTCATTACCCCTCTTACCCTAAAGCCTACATGCACTGTCAGTGCATTAATTCACCCTACTACTAAAGAAAAAACATTGCTGGTGTCAGTGTTTAAAGCAGGACTTCTGTAGCTGCCATAGTAAACACTCCTGAGCTCTGTTGCAGCACAAAGCTGGACAAAGATGGTGGAGGGAAAAAAAAAAATCAATAAACCCTAAATCACTATTTCAGAGCTCTTTGCAAACATATAGCAATTAGAAGCAGATTTACCAAAAAAGCCACAAGTCCCTTTACTGTTACCTGTGCATCTAACCCAATTGGAAGACAGTCTCCTAAGAGATCCATCTCCAGGATTTCCACCCAGTTCCAAACAAGGCAGTGAAATTCAACTCTTCACGTCTCTTCCTTTGCTCTGGTTTGCCATTTAACAGAATGGAAGACTAGCAAGAGGAATTTCAGGCCTGAAGGAGACATTAATAATAATTTTATAAGGATGTGTTCAGCGCTCCCCTTGGTGCTCCCATCTCCCCCCAGGTGAGCAGCACTCACACCACCAGCAGGCTAGAGGAGACAAAGGGACCCAGCGGTGCAAGAACTATTTGTGCAGGGCTCTCACTCGGAGGCACTACAGTTATTTAAGCTGTTGCATCTCAGCAGTTCGCTCAGCCCAGCCACAACCCCCAAAGAAGAGTCTGCAGAGCAGAACAGGTACCAGCCCCACAACTGGTCCAGCTCCGCTGGGTGACAGCAGTGCTGTCTTGGCATAACACTTGTAAGACTCTCATCCGTGGCTTAAAGCAGCACACCGAAAGGAGCTACAGCTCCTGGGACGCAGGCACGGGTGATCTCCTGCCAGCTCTGCTGCTGGATGGCGATCGCCGGACAGAAAGGCAGGGCGATAACGTATTTTGTCTCTGCAGTAAGATTTGCCAGATCTCATCCGTCAGAGCCCCGCTGGGACACGGGCATTCAGCGCAAGAAAGCGCAACAAAGGCAGAAAGCTAGCCGGCAGACCAAACCCTGAACAAAAGAGGGTTTGGAGAGCAACAAGTTTTACTCGACCTCCCACAATACGGTCCGACTTTTTTGCCAGAGCTCTTAGAAAAAGCTGAAGGGAGAATGCCGAAGCAGCGTGAAGGAAAACTCACCCTACCACTCACTTAAGTTCCTTCCACAGCCTCAAAGCGCGGCTCACGCTGGGAGCCACAGCCTCCGAGAGCCGCCGCCTCTCGTCCGGGGGAGCCGCGGCGCAGCGCGGGCTGCGGGGGCTCTGCCAGCCGCGGGCGCACGGACACGGCGCCCGCGCGTCTTCAGCGCCGTCC